GAGCATCACGGGACAATGCCCCTTGCTGTGGGGTGACAGCAGCTCCTCAGCCTTCCACCATGGTTGTCCTGCGCCACTGAAAGCCCCTTGGACCATCACTGGGGGGAAGAGGTGGGTCTGTTCCCCATTTTACTTCTTTTCACTTACATTTTCACTTGAAAACAAGCGTTCTTGCCTGTTACTTGATTGCGCTTTAATCCTTACATAGGTTTTAGCCTCTGCAGCTGCTGCTAAATAGTGTCCCCATACCCAGATCTAGCACGTCTGTAAGGGGCCAGGTGGCACAGGGAGGGGCAGGACCTGTCAGCCATTCCAGGCTGACCACTTCTCCTTCCCCCTCCTGCCCTGCACTCTCCCCTTCCATCTTGTGAGCTGCACAAAGCCCCCAGAGCACCCCAGCCCTCCCCAGGACACCTTCCCCACTTCATTGCCTTCCCTGGCCTCACAGTGCCATCAGAGCCCATCCTGTCCCTGTCCCCCCACCCCATGGGTGGGTGCCATCGCCCCTGCGCTGGGCTGGCTCAGCCCACACGGAGAGGAGAGCAGGGCACAGAGGGATGCCACAACCCCTGGTGTGGCACATGGTGGCACGTGGCTTGGGTAGGGGCTGGCTGTCACTGCAGGGACATTTCAGCGCTAAGAAAAAAACATGGCACAATCAACCCTTGTCAACACCGTTTTATTTACAGCAGAAGAGACCCTGGCCAGGATGGCTGGCAGCACCGCACTGGTGTGTGCGGCTGGGGCACGTTCCTCCAGGAAAAAGCCCCCGTTCCCAACGTGCAGCCAAGGCAAAATGTCCTTGAAAAAAGCAAGACTGTCACTGCAACGTCCCGCCCCAAGGAGGGGGGATGTAGCAGAAGCCAATTCTCCTGCGGCAAGTCTGCGCTGGGGGCTGAGTCTTCAAAAATGTCATTCTTCTCCCAAAGCCTGAGAGCTGAAAGAGGCATCTTGAGGCTGCAAGTCTGAGCGCTCTGGTTTGTGCTGGTGAGAACACTGACCACTCACACAAGTGATATACAGCCCCATGTTGGGTTTTTTCATTTGATTAAAAAAAAAAAAAGTGGTGTTGTGGACAGCAGCCTGCAAAGCATTAACCTGGTTTTTCTAGGGTTTTTTACAGCTCTTCCTTCCAGCGCGTGAACTTCTCTGAGGTGAGCACAGCGTCACCGAGCAGCTGCTCCAGAGCCTGCAGCTCCACCAGCTTTGCCTGCCGAAAGGAAGGGCCCAGGTTGGGGTGGCTGCCCATGGGCAGGGGGCTTTGGGGAGTCAGGGGGGGCTGCGGGTTCCCACCTTGAGCGTGCTCTGCAGGGCCCGCACTGCATGCACCTTCTCGTTGATGTGGGGGTTCTTGTTGCGCCGGATAAAGGACTTGCGGCATTGCTCCTCCGTCAGGAACCGCTGCTGCCCCATGAGGGACAGCCCACCCTGCTTCAGGCACTGCATCAGGCACTCGAGATCCTCCCCAGCAGGGTCTGGGCAAGAAGAAGGGGCATCGTTGGATGGAGGCAGCCCCAAATCCTGGCAGGGCTGCCCCTGCATGTGGCCCTGCCCCAAGACTATCCCAAGACACTGACTACATGGCCGACACTCAAATACCTCCCAACTGGAGTTATGCCCCCTGCACACACACAAATAGCCCTAACTTCGATTAAAGGGTACACATGAGGTGACAGATGTCACCCCCCAGCACCTACCCATGGGCGAGCAGGGCCGAGGGCTGCCCTGGGGGCTGCTGGCTGCGCTGCTGGGCTCGCCGCCGGCTGGGAAGAGCTGGGCTTTCTCTGGGGTGTTTTGCAGCCTCTTCTTTGGCTGGGGGAGAGACAGGGCGGGAGGTGAGATGAGGATCCTCCGTCCCCTCCTCAGGGTGTTCCCTAGGGCCACTCACCAAATCGCATCCGTGCCTGGGGGACTCGTCATCAGGGTCCTCAGCTTCCGTCTCGCTGTAGCAGTCTGGAGGTCACGAGGGGAAGACGGTGGGAGCAGAGGGAGCAGGAAGCCCCGGGCTGCCCCCCAAGCCCTCCCCAGAGCTGAGCATCACCCCAGCGCTCCTCTCAGGGAGCATTTCTCACATTTCCCCCAAATCACGGGCAGAGCAGTCCCAGCGGTCCCATGCAGGGGCCATAGCTCCAGGCACAGCTGCTCCACCGGGACCCCCAGCCTGCAGCTCCCCACAGGGTCCCCATCACCTGCAGGGGAACCGACCCCATCTCCCACCCTGGGAAGGGCCTGTTACCTTCCTCCCTGTCCGGGACTGACTGGTGGGCCTGTGCATACTTCGTTTTGGCTGTTATCAGGTGACTGACCCACCTGGGGAAAGAAAGGATGGACAGACAGACAGAGAGTCATGACCAGCCCAGCGTGGTGGGACTGGCATGGGCTGTTGCAGGCCGGCGTGTTACTCACATGCTCAAATCAGCCAGTGTTTCTGCGGCGAAGATGAAGGGCTTGTACCTCTGGTGGGAGAGCTGGAACACACTGGAGGAGGACAAGCCTTTGCTGATGGGGCTACCCAGCACCGGAGCCAGCACTGAGCCCCCATCCAGCCTCTGCTGAGCCACAGCCCCCCCATCCCAACCCAACCCAGGGGTCTGGGCTTTCCCCTGCCATTGGAGATGTTCCAGTCCTCAGCCCGATCCAGGGAACACCGGTAGCACAATGCACGTCTTGCTGAGAGCATGGGCTCCTGTATTGTGTGACAGCCAGTCTGGCCAGCACCGCAGGGACCCCGCCACCACCGTGGGGACCCCACCACCACTGTGGGGACCCCACTGTCACCGCAGGGACATGCGGGTGGTACCCAGAAGGGCTCATCAGCACATGCCCTTGGGACAGCATCCTCCCCTCCACCCCCAGCTGGGACATCCACGGTGAGACAGACCCCACTCACTATTTCTTCTTCTGCTCCCTCGTGCTCTCCAGGTCGTAGGTGGCCACATTGATGAGACCTGCAGCCTTCTCATCCTGCGAGGGAGAAACAGCCGCATTCACTGCCCGCCTTGGCTGCCCTGGGTGGTGATCGAGGACACCCAGCACTCCCACTCACGTTGGGGTGGTGGTACCAGTAGAGCGTGTGGCCCTTCAGCACAAACCAGCACCGCTTCCACTTCTGGGCCATGAAGGCCACGTGGTCCTTCTTCTTCAGGAGCCAGCCATCACAGTCCACCCGGCCCAGGTCCCGGCATGAGACCCGCCGGCGGCTCACCCTGGTCGCCACTCCTGCTGGCGACAGCGTTAAGGCCAGGGTGGTCAAGAGCAGGGAAGAAGGAGCAGGGGGCAGAGCCCAGGAGAGCCCCCAGCCCCATTCGCCCCAGCCCTGGCAGGGTCCCACTCACCTTTTGGTCTGCGTCCCGTCTGGGGGCTGCCCTGGATGGGGAGACAGAGACAAGAGGTTAGGGACCATGCATGGGGGCGAGGACACCACAGTGTTAGCCGAGCTCCCCCACAGGCAGCACCCACAGCCCCTTAAGGACCCCCAACTTTCACACCCCGCAGCAGTGAGCTCAGAGGGGAACCCACCCCAGGGATGGGTGTTTTGCCTCCCAGCTCAGGCAGGACATGAAGTCCTGCATGTGCCCCACTGATACTCCCCCAGAGACCCCCCCGTGAGGCTCAGCACTCCTCTCCCACCGGCTCTCACCTCCCTGGGGAGCTGGCCAGGCTCTGTGCCCTGCCCCCCTGCCGCGGGGGCTGCCGTGGGGCTGAGCTCCGCAGCGCAGGGTCCAGCAGCAGCGAGGGCGCCTGGGGAGCCTGGGGTGCCCAGTGGGGTGCCACCCTCCCACGCTGCCTCCTCAGCAGCAGCAGGACCTGCAAACAGCAAGCGGGGCTGCAGCCCCCCATCCCGGGGGAGAAACC